TTACTAAAACAGGGGAAGCTTGAAAAGAATGGGTTGGTGAAATAGTATGCAAATGACATAATATTCTATGTTACTCTCATATTTCCATTGTTCAGATTCTCACTGCTTCCTTAAATAAATAAATAATGAATGGATGAATTAAAATAAATAGGAGCAAATGTTGCTCTCAAGCATTACACATAGAAGGGGAAGAAATAGGAAAGACAATGTCAAGATAAGCATTGGTGGCTTTTGAAGGAAAGGGATTAGGTAAGACGAGATTGAGTATAAATTATCCGTTCAAAACTTTAAATAAAAGGAATCACGGTAGAAATGAGAATCTTATAATTTTTTTTTTTTGAAAAAGAACAAAACATGTGGAAAGAATGATATACAAAATCTATAAGTGTTGGTGATGGTGTCCAGAATCCAAATTGAATTGGTTGTGCATTTAAAAAGCATTCATTTTGGTTTCAAAGCCCATTGTTCATGTTCTCATCCTCTTGCATCCAGCGTTCACTTCCCTTTTGCTTTTCATTTCCCTCTTTTTGAAATTCTTGTTGTTTGGCACGCAAAATACCAAAGAATCTTATAAATCAAGTACTTGCAAAGGATATATTCTGAAACCTGTTGACGGAAGTCGGTAGGAGAGGAGTTGCCGTCAGAAGACTCAATCATCATATCAGCCAAATAAATTGTCGTCCTGGCTGCAAATATTCCTTCGATTTCATAACCAGATTCCAAAAAAGAGAGGGAATGATAGGAGGTTTTGGGAAAAAATCAAAAGGGCGAAAAGGAAGAAGAAGTCGAAGAAGTCTGGGATGTCTTCCTTTAGAGCATCATCGGATTGAGGGAGAACGGAGAGTTATTGTCAAGAAACTCAAGGCAAAGAAGAATCGGTGAAGCTGATGTCCTATTGGATGACAATGGTAACAGTTTTTGGTGGCTATGTTTACAGAGTGCGATAGCAACAGAGGTTTTAAAGAAGATCAAGCTTGTCATTGGAGGAGATATTTCAGGCGTTCAGTGCTTCTCAATAAAAGTATTTAACAGTGTTAATGTTTATTTAACGGCAGGGATCAACAGATCTAAGGTAAAAAGTTAAAGACCTAATAAAAAAAAAACTCATAAATCTGATTCAAAATTAAAGAAAATTATAAGGACTTCCAAATTAATTTTTCCTAAACATAATTACTACCTCCACTTTTTAATATAAAAACTTATTTAATTTTTATTTTAGTTTTAAATATAAATATTAATTTATTATCTCTCATATTTACTTATTTTTTAAAAATAATCTTTAAAATAATGATAATTCTAATTTAGTAAAAATATTTCAAGAAAGACAATACCTATTTATTATAAATAACTAATTTGATAAGTTTTCTTAATATACTTAAATTAGTTAACTAGCATTTATATTAAGGACCGGAAGTAGTATTATTTAAAGCGTTAATTTAGTACTAGTCTTATATTTAATATAAGATCTATTTAACTAATTTAATTAAATTAAAGAAGTTAACTAAATTGGTTAATTATAAAAAACATAATATATTTTTTTAAAGACCAGAATTATTTTTTTTAATATCTTCCCTCCCTTTTTTCTTGGATTATAGTTGAAAAGGTATTAATATGAGTAACTTAAAAAAATCAATAAATATGAAAAATAATTCAAATAAATCTTACATTTAACATCAAGATCTACTTAATAATTAAGTCTTACGTTAAGAAATAATTTCAAAATAATAGATATTATTTACATAAGATTGGGGGGAGTATTCGCGTCGGGGTCGAGCTATCCGTGGAGAGGCTTCATTTCCTTGGGTGTGATCAGGACACTTGAAAATGGTATTGTCAGGTTTGCGACTTTAAACAAATCCATGACAGGAATGTAAACTCAAGTAGTAGTTTTTTTTTAATCAATAAATTAGTTTTAAAATTATACAATTAAATAATTAAAATATAAAAAATGATAAAAAAAATTATTTTAATATATTTTAAATCTAAATAATTGAAATTAAATTCATCAACATTCACTGTTTATAATATTCAATTAAAAAGTCATTAAACATAATTACATTAAAAAAATTAACATTAGTTTAAAACCGAATTGATATAATTGTGACTTAAAAAAAACGTAAAAACAGTAAATTTGATAAATAAACTCATAACTTTAACTGAGTTTACATCTAGCATGAGTTCAAAAACGAGTCGCCATGTTTTTACAAGCTGAAAACATAAAACATTAAATTCAGAGAGTTTACTCAAGAGTTTAACAATAATTGTCTTGTCTCATGTCAAATTATGGGGATTACCCAGATAAATTACTACCTCTGATTTTAATTATAAGATTTAGTTGATTAATTGAAGAAGATTAAGAAAATAAATTAAGTTAGTTATTTGTAATAAATAGGTGTTGTCTTTCCTAAAATATCATTGTTAATTAAGTGTGTTGATTATAACTATTATTATTAGAAAGACTACTTGAGCGAAAAAATACATAAATATGAGAGACAAAGTGGATTAGGGCCTTATAATTAGAACTAAATTAAAAGTCAAATGAGATCTTATATTAAGGATCGGAAGTAATAATTAGTTTTTTTTTTTACTTTTGTCCCAACCAATCCTGACCATCCATTTTTTTTCCTTGAATTTTGATCAGTAGAATCAATCGTTGAAGGTCGAATACACTCAACATTTGTGGATGATTTGTATTGTGAGGCGGAGGGAGTATATTTTAAAAATTAAGGATAATAATTTTTAAAAATACTTAAAAAATCGAATCTGATAACTCTTAACTAAAGATTAAGCAATTAAATTATCTTTAACGGACTTTCTAACCAAAAAGTGATATTACTAAAAATGGCAACGGTGACAAAGCCTTCATAAGTTGCAAAACTGCAATATGAAATCATTAATTAAACTAGCACAGTGTTTTATTAATCCATTTTCATTATCGAATGTGTGCGAACAAAAGTTGATAAGAGGCGGCTTATAACTTATAAGATTATGAGTTTAAATCCCGTTACAAATATAAGAATTTGTTGTTGAGCAATTTTTAAGTGTATGAATTGTGATTTTATATTTAAAACTAAATTAAATGTCAAACTAATTTTTATATTAAGAACATGAAATATTATATCGATTTAAAATTACATTGAATTAAATAAAATCAAATATCCTTAAAAAATAAAAATAAAATTTAAAATGAGGTAAAATAAAAATTCTAGCAACATTTTATTGTTTTAAAACATTAATTATTATCCGCACGGAAAAACAGAGTTGTGTATTTTATAAAACAAGATATCATGGTATAAGAACAGAGTACAAGGATGTATTTTCATTCTTCACCTACCACTCACAAGAACTAGCGTTCCACAAGCGTGATGCCTAGGAGTGCGACATGACATTCGTTAAATTAATGTTATTGATTTTTTTTTCCGTTGAATTTATGGTGAGTAATTAAAAACTTGTTTAAAGTAAAAATTATTTTCTATTCTTAATATAAGAACTAATTAACTAATTTTAAGAGATTAAAAAAATTAGTTAAACTTATTATTTATAATAAATAAATATTATCTTTCTTAAGATACTTTTATGTATATTAGTTAAAATTATCATTTAATTAAATATTTAACATGTATAGCTACTATAAAGACTATTTTAAAAAAATAATAAACGTAAAAGACAAATTAATTAAGAACTTACATACAAGATTAAATTAAAAATTAAACTAATTAAAAACATTTACCTGACGACGAAAATGAAACTCGTCGACTTTTTTTTTTTAAATATCGTGTTGTGCCTTTTTCTTTTTCCCGGCCAGATTGTGCGGGAGCATGTTATGTCTAACGTTGGGAAGATTTTTCCCGGCACGTTGGCCGGTGGTAACATGTGCTGTAAATTGTCAATTTGCCGCTAAATTATAGTAAAATTTTAACTCTGACCCAAATCTTTGGAAAAATTACACAACTTGCCCTCAGCAGCCTGAAACACATCGATCGCGTTCTCTCCGCCTCTATCCCCTGATTTGAATGTTCCTTCTGTTTTTGGTCCGGATTACGATGTGAATTGTTCTCAATTTCCAGTTCTTGAATCGATAGCATCGGTGAGCAGCTCATTTTGTTGGAGCACTTGATTGGATTTTTGAGTTCCCACTGTTTGTTGTGACGTGGGGTTGGAAATTCAGTGGCCGATTTCAATGGAATACGAGCTCTCTGATAGCAGTGGTGGGTTGTTTTAAAGAGCTGATTTTCTTAACATTATTTTTATGGGTAATATGTTGTGCAACCCCTTAATTTTCAAAACCTTAATGGTTTTTGGTGATCAGATGAATTTATGCTTGATGATTATGATCTCACCTTATTGCATTATGGTGAGAAGTCTCAACTGAAATTGCATCGGTTTTTAATGACACTGGAGTGCAATTGGAGCTTCACAATTCTTATCCTTGAATTAATTGTTTGGCTTCTGCTCTCCGTCCCTCACCCCCGCCACCCCCCCCCCCGGGGGGGTTTGTTCTCATGCTAAACTTTTTCTATTGGTTGTATGTTCTTTTAATTTTTTAAGCTATTGCTGCTGCTTCTGTTTTATTGAAAGTGAAATTTGATTCTCAGAAACGATTACTTTTTGGTCCTTTTCCAATTAAATGTTCACTCAGTGTAAGGTGGTTGTTTCTTGGATGAATTTAATTCTTCTGGGGGATGAAAATCCTTTTGTCCCAGCAGCTGAATAGTTGACATTCCTATAAGGCTTTTGAATATTTGAATAATATAGTCTTTGATATGGTTTATGACTCACGCTGTTTGCGTTTCATAAAAAAAAGTCACTGTTCAGTAATCTGTTTGGTTCCCAACATCATGGGGTATGAAGTTACTCGAGAAAACATATTAATCACTCATTTTCACCATGCCTGATTTTTTTAGCTCACTCATTGATTGTGATCATGTCTTCAGGCCTGGTAGCAAGATCATCACTGGACGCTGTTTAAATTGCTAACGAAGTTGTGGATAATGTGAGGATTTGAAGTAATTAGGCCTTGGTATCTAAGTTGAATTTTGAAAAAGACTTATGATTAGTCCACTGGCGTGTCTTAGATTAGGTCCCTGATAGAAAGAGCTTTGTCTATCTACTGGCTACTCCTCAGTGATGGTGAATGGCGAACTTTTTGTCCTTGATATTGCTTTTGCAGTCAAGAGCGGTAATAGAAGAGCGCCCTTGGTTCCTTTTCATATATTTTTTAGCGGTGTATGTGCTTGGGGGGGAGGAGGTTGATGCCTCTAGCGGCTCCAAGAGTGGTCTTATAGCATATTTGTGGCAAGTGCAAAGGAGTTTTTAATTTTTAACCTGCAATTAGCAATTCTTACTTCAAGTCTAGCAAAAAAAAATTTTCTTCAGGTTACAAGGTTAATTTTTCTGTTCGTGCATGTCTTGCCTTTTGGGAAATTGGAAATCCTGAAATTATCCGCTGAGTTTACTTATTATGGGTCCTCGTCCTCTACAGTTTTAATTGTCTTGTTAAACACCAGTCTGCTCTGCTGCCACAACTTTTTCCATGGTAATACCAAAACTCATGTAATGCGATGATTGAACATATCAGATATGCTTGTGAACCAGAGAAATTGATTTTAATTGTGTTCCAAGTCTACTTTATGGCTCTTGCATTCAAAATGATTCTTAAATAATAGTTGCTATGATCTGAAATAATTGCAGGGACAGACAATGATCTTCCTCCTTCACATCAAAGTAGATCTCTACGGCCAGGCTATGTGGGTGGCAATGGAAGATCAGCCTTTGTTGGGTCTGGTCCATTTTCCAGGGTACAGAATGACATGGAAACTCAGATACACAATATTGAGCAAGAAGCATACACATCTGTCCTGCGGGCCTTTAAAGCTCAATCTGATGCAATCTCTTGGGTATTTACTTTGTGATTTGTCAATTAAGCTATATACAAAATTATGATGGATAGATGCAATAATCCATTTTATTCTTTTTTGGGTTCCTGTGCACTTTAGGAAAAAGAAAGTTTAATTACAGAGCTTAGGAAGGAGCTAAGAGTGTCTGATGAAGAGCATAGAGAACTTCTATCTAGAGTCAATGCTGATGACATTATCCGCAGGATAAGGTCATATTACATTTTGCTAATTTCTGCTGAGTATTTTCTTATACCACTCTACAAAACACGGTTTGTTATGTATCTGGAATGTAACCAATCTGTGCTCTTAGGGAGTGGAGAAAGGCCAGGGGACTCCAACCTGGCACAGGAAATAGTGCTCAACGAACTCATGACCGTATACCCAGCCCTACAGCTTCAGCATCTCGTAAGAAACAAAAAACGTCGCAATCCTTGGCTCCCTTATCCTTGGGCGCACCATCTCCAGCGGGCCATCCATCTATGCAACCGTCATCATCAGCATTGAGGCATGGACCTCCACCAGGAGCAAAAACCAAAAAGCCAAAATCAGTAAGTGAGATGGTTTAGGAATAATGATAGAAAAAGATACTAGATTACTGACATTCACTTGCTCTGTGATCACTGATCCCTGTTTTAAAATAACAAAATACATTGACTACCCTATCTTTAATGAAGTCTGTGCAGTTCCCTTCTACAGGTCATACTGGAAGGACCCAGGCTAATAATCAGGGTTCTTCAGGTGCCTTCGCTACAAATGAACCTCCTGAGGCAGCCTCTTATGATCCTTTGATTGGAAAGAAAGTTTGGACAAGGTGGCCAGAAGACAATCACTTCTATGAGGCTGTTATAACTGATTATAATTCGGCCGAGGTGTGTGTTTTTCACTCTTTAAAAATTTAGTCAAATGAACATCTAGTAACATTAACTTGCGAATATTTTGTAGGGCCGGCATGCTTTGGTTTATGATATGAACACTGCTAACGAAACATGGGAGTGGGTCAACCTTAAAGAGGTAAAATTCTTGCAACAATTTTTGTTTGTGTAATATCATAACACTGGTTCTCCCTTTGAAATGGATATGAAGTATCTGAAAAAATTGAACAGGTAAACATTATTTGCATGCGTTACATCTAGTTTGAATCTGTAATTCTTGCAATTGGCAGAGTCAATGTCTTTCCCTTGCGTGTGCATTAACGGGAAACACCTATCATGGGCCACTGCATGATGAGCTCCTTTTGTAGGAATCATTACTGGATGCAAACAAATGAAACTCGAGCATGTATGGGATAATCCTTTTTAAAATTAAGCATGGACTACATCTTTATTCTAAATTAGGAATAATACACTCAAGTTTCTGTTCAGATGGCTTTATGCTGCCATTCCATAACTACAATGTTGCATTCTTTCAACCTTACCTGCCCTCTTGATTCCGTCGTTCTCAAATGTTCTTTTAAATGTTTCTCTTTATATTTCTTTTTGGAGTTATGGAACTATGATGTAAAAGGCCACTAGCTTGACGATCTTGTAACGCATCTAAATTCAAATTCGGTTCAAATGTGAAGTGTTGGGAATATGACAAAACGATATCACTTCTCTCTTCCCATACATCTATCTGACATTGTGGATTTAGCGTTCCTTTATTACAACAAAAGCATTACAAACTAGATTGTTCGTGTCATTTACTGTCATAGTTGGTAAATGGTTGTTTAAAATGTTTCAATTGTGCACCGATCACAAGAAAATGTGCTACCATTTGAAAATGTCACTACTTGCAAATTTAAAATACCTGTATTCTGGTTTTCTTATCAGTTAATTGCTGGAGTTCTTTGTTCCATTTGAGCGCCAATGAAGTGATAATTTCCTCTTTTAATTATATTTTATCTTATCTTTCTCCATGATTTCTTTTCACTTTGCTCTTCATTATTTTCTTCTGAATCAACGGCGAATCTAAAAGTAAATTGAGTCTGTTTTGTTAATTATCACTGACTTCATTGATCCAATCCAAGTGACTAACTGTTAATTTCATATGGCAGATATCACCGGATGATATTCGATGGGAGGGTGAAGAACCGGGAATGCCTCGCAGGGGCGGACGACCTGGCTCCGGTCGGGGAACAAAGAAGTCTATGTCTCGTGGTGGTGCAGTTACTGGTGCAGGAAGAGGTAGAGGAACGACCAAGGTACAGCCTAAGAAAGATTTCACTTTATCACAAAATGGGGGCAAGAAGAAGCCCACAGGTGATATTGAGATTCTACAAACGGATACCCTCGTCAAGGAGGTATGAGCATAACCATTAGAAATTTCTCCTTCATTTTTTGGCCGGACATTAGAAATTTCTTCTATTCCTTCAACAATGTTAACATGTTACATGCCCTGATAAAATTGAACTGAAGCAGGTTGAGAAGGTTTTTGGTGCCAATCAACCCGACCCCACAGAAATGGAGAGAGCAAAGAAAATGCTAAAAGTAAGCATCAACCATCTTCCTCGAATTCCCTGCATACTATATTTTAATTTCTTCAATTATAATTTCCTAATTGGTTCATTGGAAATGTAGGAACATGAACAGGCCCTGGTTGAGGCAATAGCCAGGCTTGAAGATGCTTCTGACGGTGAAAGTGGTAATAGCTAACATAGAACTGTGTTTCGTTTAGAAGTATACAGAATTTCACCACATTCTGTTTTATCCTAAATTTTTGGACATTCAAGCCAATGACCCCCTCCCCAGCTTGTCATGTAATACGAAGTTGTTAATAAAATATGTGTTTTTGTTTTCTTCGTTATTTATCATTGCCTCGCAATTACTAATAATAATAATGGCCTCCCTATACTATTTCTGGAATTGAATTTTCCACCCCTCTTGGTTGAGAATCAATTTATTTATTTATTTATTTTTGTGCAAGTCTTGTCAATATTGATTCCCAGAATTACCCACTTTATGTTGCATTCCGTTGCTATAAACCAGATGGGGTATTTATATTTTCACAGGGGCGATAAACGGATCAGCAAAGAGGCAGGAAGAAACAACAGTATGACGAGTTGGGTGTTGAAGTGGCAAATTAACAAGATATCCGACTTCGTTCCCTGAGGAAGGGGGCAATGACACATGACCCAAACTTGTACTTTGTTAATATGCTATGTTTTATATTGTATCATTAGCAGGTTTTATCTATCTCTTAGGCTAGCACCTAGCATGTTGGACCGGTTCCCATCTGGTTGAATATAAGCTGTGTAACTTTCTCAGAGAACAAAGCATAATGGACGGTACTTAATCTCTCTCTCTCTATCCCTCTCTCTCTCTCTCTCTCTCTCACACACACACACACACATTTTCCAATCTGAGCCTAGTTTCTTCAGTAGATGACGTAAACATTCGAATCTCCGGTAGAACGAACAAGAACGTTGCATTATGTACACAAACTTTTATACCCACAGAAAGAAGAGGTAATCCAATAGCAGCTGAGATTTTAGTAGTTTGTCTTACAATGATGCAAGAAAATGAACAATGAGATCCACCATCTGGGCATCATAAGCAGGCCCTTCCATCTGGAAATGTCCAACCCCATCAATAAGATGTGTTTCTGCGCGTCCTACTGCAGAACTAAGCTTGTTTTTGAGCTGCTTCACACTGGTAAATCCATCTTGAGTTCCCATAATGAAGAGCTTCGGTTTTGGGGATTGTAGTATGGCTTTGTGGTGTCTTCCAAAAAGGATTGAAGCAGTCATGCCAAATGGATAACCTATACTCACATAGCCAATGACTTGTTCAATCTGATCTACCGCAGACCCTGCTATTGGTGCCCCTGCATCCAAAGAATCGTTCAATTTTTTTCAGTTTCCTCCACATGGAACTCCTGAATGATTTGGGGACAAGTCCAGGATAAACTTCACATCTGGGAAAGATCAATTGAATGTAACAGGGATACAAAAACATTTCATCTGGGCATCAGCATATTGATGCTGATTTCCTTTGATACCAACATAGGGACAAGTTGTGAGTGACAAGAACCAAAGCAAATGACCCAACTTCTACCCATGTAATGGTAACACTAAAACAAACCAAGCTCCTAATTTCAGTATAAGGTCCCAGCTCAAATCCGATTCTACTGCCCGTATCATATTCACAAGGTCGAGAGACAAGTCTAGGATAATGCTTTCGCAAAAACTTTCTCCATTGATCAGATAATCTCGCAGAATAACAATAGGGGACGCTGTTAATTTAATTTGCAATAGTCAAACTGATTAAGAACAATCAATCAAGAACAAACAAAAAATACTGAAAATAAAGCATCCAAGTTCTTAGTAGTTAATGTTCATAGAACTATTCCCGGTCTAATGATAACATTGCAAGCCTCTCATGATTTGAAACAAGGCTTCACCGCCTGTGAACAATACTCTACCCATGCAACTGATTTATGCCCCTGTCTGAAAGGTACAACGGCCTACAAATATTATCCGCCCAGCAATTCAGGCATTGCAAAGAACAGAAGCAACATAACCCAAGCTGTAAAACTTATTGGCCGAAGCAGACAGAAATTACAGTGTGATGGTGTGATGGTAACCCATCTTCCTTTGAAACTCCGAGATCAGATCACAAACAAATCATTGAGGAAGATAGCGCCCAAACCCCACCACCCCCCCCCCCCAAAAGAAAAAAAAAAATCTCTCCTTCAAAGGCTATAATTTAGGATGACGTTAAATAGGGCTGATATAAGCAAACGAAAAGGGAAAGCACCATTATGGGCCATAATCCAAACTAATTTTACGGATCTGAAATATAACGATCATAGTATAGCACACAGCATCCTGGTCTACGGCCGAAGGCATTATACAGACAACCATAAAATCCCTTGATCCATGCCATCAAGCAACGAATGAAGGAAAATTAGGGGGAGATTGTACCTGCGGAAGAACCGACCAATAGAATCTTATCAACAGATAGATTCTCGCAGACCCATTTGCAGACTCCAATGACATCCTTAATTTCTGCAAACCCAGTGAGGGAAGGCCTTCCTGTAGAACTTCCAACGCCTCTCATGTCAAAAGTCACTGCCCTAAAACCCTTTTCTGCTAATCCAGAAGCTATACCTTTCAAGAGGCCCTGACAGCCACCCAAAACGGAGTAGGGATGGACAAGAACGATGACCAGATCGTGTTTAATCTCTCCGGTGGGTTTGAAAAGCCTTGTTTTAAGCTTGACTCCATCACTGATTTCGACCATAGAAGACTCCACAGTGCAGTTTGACATGATGAAGTGAAGGAGGACGAGGATGAGGACAAACCGAGAAAGAGATGCAAGGAAGAATAACGAGTGAAGTGAATTTCGTAAAAATATAAATTCTGGAATGCTTGCTGAGCATCACAAGCGAGCGTCGATGGTCAGGTGGACAGCTCCTCATAGTGAAAGAAACTTTAAAAAAAGGGCATTGGATCTGATTAATTGGGCTGGTTTGCTTTGTGAAACAGATAGAGCCTCTTCTCCAATGCATTGAAATCCATGGGAACGCAACCAGCTTCATTCACAAACCAGGGGCAACTGGCAAGCCCGTTAAACTGAGAAACCAACTCGGTTGTGAAAATTATTTTGAACCCGATCGAAATCAACATTAATATGTCAATAAAAAATATTCTAATCATAAATATAAGATTTATTTTATAATATAAATTATATTATAAAATAAATAAATTATGGGCATGATTCGCTGACACTTGAAAAGCCTATATGAGGCCTGCAAGGGTTGGGTCCGACTGGTCGCAAACGGGGGCGCAAGGCGCGTTCTCCTACCGGGTCATGGGCTCGATTCCTGGCGAGGCACCCTGGGATTAGTCTGGCCGATACGCTGGGATACCCTGAGTTAGCGATAACATCCTACTCAAAAAAAAAAGCCTATATGAGACTAAGGCACCGTTTGGGTGACACTCCAAATCATGGTTTGGGTGATAAGTCACCCAAACACCCACCCAATTTGCATAAATCATGGTTTTGGGTTTTGGAAAAAGTAAAATTTTTTACTTTTGGAGAAAAAAGAGAGAGTATAAGAGCTTATAGAATATGTATCTTGTTATATTTTTTATAAACATATTTAATCTCATATTTTATAAATATATATACATATTAATTAATTATTAATTATATTATCTTATGTATTATTAATTATGTTAATAAAAATATATTATTAACAATTTTATTCCTTCAAATTAAAATATATCATAAAATCTATTTTTTCTGTAATTATCATATTAACTTTTGTCTTTTTTTTAGTAATTTGTATATATAAAAAGTGCTTCTGATAACAACTATCCAAACACTCTCACTTCTCAAAATCACTTTTTCATAAAATCTATTCTTTCCATAATCTATTCTTCCCAGAATCTATTTTCCAGAATCACTTTTCCAAACCATGGTTTGGTTTTATCCAAACACACCCTAAATGCGTTAGGTGTTTGTTGAGATATGCAAATCTAAAATATATAAATAAATTTATAAAATCATTTACTATATTCTAAGAAAAATACTTTTCAGCTCAAAAATTCAAGTAACTAGACATAACAATATTAATAATAATACTTTTTAAATAATATCTTTCAAATACAAGAGGTATTTTACTATTTCTTATAGTAATTTTATTTATAAATCTCTTTGTTTAAAAAAATAAATTTTAAAACAAACAGAAACCTTCTTACAAAAAAACACACACATTTGAATTGTACTTTTTTTCATCAGTTATAGGTTATGTGTGATTGGTATTTTATGTTTTGAAAGAAAGAGGCCAAAACCAGCTCATCTATGAGTGATTATTCGTTTCATGATGTGATCTTCTGAAGCGTTTTTACTGACCTAAATAAAAATTAAACTATAAGCCATTGTAAACTTTCTTTTATTTATATGAAAAAAATATTATAAATAGAAGAAAAATACAGCTGGAGACAAGACATGAAGATTGCCTGTACAAGTCATGGATGTGTCAATAATTGAAGAAATTAAAATAAATGAGTGAAAAGTACACCCATTTATAATTTGGACATAACCCCTTTGAAAGCAATTTGCGTTTTGGAGTGTGATTTTGATTTTCGCCCACAAGTTATTATTTGACAGCAATTTGCTTTGAAAATGAATGCCAAAATGTGGAGGGAAGCTAAGGGTCCCACGTTCTTAATTGCTCGTATTAATTGAGACAAATAATGGTGTCCCCAGAAGGCTTCGTGCTTATCCTAAACCAGTTACAGTAATTATAAGTTCGATCAAATCCATTAACAATATTTTTTAAATTAAGAGGCTAATTAATCTCGGGGTGAAAGCTTTGATTTGACTGTTGCATGGTTTAAGACAATAAATTACGTATTATAATTTGATTTAATCTGTGAAGGACTGTCCTTTTATTTTACTTACTTTCTCATAAAGTCATCTTTTTGATACGGTCTCCTATAAGTTTATATTTTTCAATTTAATGGTTTGAAAGTTAAACATCGATGTCCAAAATCACGTAGCAATGTTTTTGCACTGAATGAAATGTTAAAGCCTTAGGTCACGTAGACACGAGCCTAATTATCATTATAGTGATGCAGGACAGGGAGAAGAGAGGAGAAAGAGAAGGGGAAGAGATATGGAGAGATTAGAGAGGAGAGGGAGAAAAAATAAGAAGAAGGGGAGAGGGGTACAAAATGAGATGTATTGAGATACTATTTATAATTATAATTATAATTTTAGTAATTAAACGTGAAATATTATAGAAATCTGAAAATTAAATGCAAATGACAATCAATAATAAAAGATATGATAATGAAATTAAAATTAAAATCAATGATAATATACTCCTCCGGTCCTTAATATAGGACCCAATTCTTAAGTTGATTTTGGTCCTAAATATAAAATACATTTCTCAAATTTATCAATTTTCTCTAAATTATCCCTATAAATACTCCTTCAACCATAATCAAGTAGAAGAGGGAGATAAGGTATTAAGAAAGATGATTATGGTATTTTAGGAAAAATGTGTCATTTTTTTTATAATTAACTAACTTACCTAACTTTCTTAATCTAATCAAACTAGTTAAATGGGTCTTACATTAAGGACCAGAGGAGTACAACCCAAATATCTGAAAATCATTATTTCACATCTCATCATACACGCTCTTTAGATCTGCATCATCTCTCATTCTCTTGATTATAGGAAATAATGTGCATTTTTCTCCTAATTAAATTCTTTCTTTTTTTTTTGGGGATCCAAATCAGACAAGGGAGACGAGGAATCAAAGGCACACGTGCATGTCAACATGCTCGCTTGGCTAATAAAGTCCTAAGTACATCAATAGTCAATGAGCCTGCTGCAAAAAGCGGAGGAGTAATTGTTAATCAAAGAGATGACACACGTGGCTTAAGTTACAACTCCAATCTCAGGACACGAGTGGCTTAGTTTTGAAGTTTTAAAAACTCCAACCCACCGTTTTGAAAATATTAATCGCTACTTTAATGGAGCACACTTTGTTACAAATCCAAAGTGTTTGGGTCAACGTATATAGGCATTATATGTCTAAAAATATCCCAATAACTAGGAGTCAGGACATACGGAAAGGAAACATTTAATGTACGGAAAGACAAAGAAAATGAAACTTTTTTACTAAATCAAAACTATTAGGCAGACTCCATATTTAAAAACAAAGGAATATAATTATAAAGTAGAGTACTATGAACTGATGAGAACCACGCAGGTACAGTGTTACACACATGCACACGTGCAAGGTATGCGAAGAAAGGGAATCGAGTGGCTGTAGTTAGAGAGAGATAACAATATTTATATTATTGAAGATTGTGGACGAAAATTGATGAGAAGCAATTAAGACCTCAGATGCCAAGTCAAAAAATAGTGATTTGACTGAGACAAATCATTGTGTGTGAGATATGAGATATATATATATATATATATATAATAGCATAAGTAATTTTCAATTCATTAATTGGGTGGCAAATTCTGCGTCAGCAAAAGGAAAATCACGTTTATCCACATGATGCTTTCTTTTGGCTGAGATTATTTACAGTTGCAGCGCTATACGTTAGAGGTGTGTGTGTGTGTGTGTGTGAAACTTCTTCTGATTCGAATCTAATTATTAGGATCTATATATGATACGTAAAGCAGCTTATGGAAATCTCCATCTCTCACATATTAGTAGCATTAATTATAGTGTCTGTTTAATTTCCAGCTTTTTAATTATACCCCCAAAAAAAAAAACAGAATGGTTATCTATGGTTAGAAAGTAGAAATTATCCAAGGATTCGCTGCAATATCCTGATGTAACAACTAATTAAAACGCCAAAAGCCCGAAAACTTGAAATTAGAAAAGAAAGATAACATTGCGATGATTTAGCCATAAATAACTAACTTCGTTAACAAGAAGTATTTCAAAATTTTCATATATATTTTTTTGAACACACAAACTTAAAGTTTTCATATATTGCAATCATTTATAATTATTTTAGCAGCCATTATTTCAATTGCAAAAATTCTTTATTCGCCGATGAAATAAATACGTGAGCGGGTATCGTCTCTAAACCGTGTAGAATGTGACATTACCATTATTGCTTGGAAAATTTAATTAATCAGGAATATATATATTATATCCATTTGTTATGATCCAAGGTGTGTGTGGGTGTGTGGATACACACGTGGTCATTGAATGGAAGGAATCATAAGAAGAGATTCATGATTGTGACACGGAAAATAATATTCGTCTGTTCTAAATAAAATTTATTTTGTAGTATAACACTATAACTTATATTTAGAATAGGAAGAGTAATACAATCACAGCAATATATATATAAATTAATTAAGTAAATTATATGTGTGTGTGTGCTGTTACTTGCACTGCCCTTTGCAACAAAAAGAGAGAGAGGCGACACATACACGCATATATATATATATATATATATATTTGGTTTATGTTGTTGATGATTGATGACGTGTATGCATGCATGCGCTATACTTATTTGATCCATTAAATAATTTGCGATGCCGGTGGGGACTTTAAGTTTAGATACATGCACCAATTAATTAATTTAGAGCACATATACATAGTGCGTTTGGCTTTTTTTTTTTTTTAGTTTTCTTAAATGTCCAGTAATATCTATTATTGGGGATCCTGTTCATGCGTATTGGCGGAGGTTAGAGTATGCTTTTTCTAGTTTTCTTGTCAATGTTTGGCTTAAAAAAGTATTCTCGTTTAATTATTGAATGTTTGATGGGAAGATGAAGAAAAGAACAAATATAATTGCTCGATTATTATGTATAAAGCAAGCATATTGAATAATTTTATAGAACTAATATGTTATGGATAGATCATATAAAACTTGTTACAATCATCGATGTTAGATTAAAGGGGGGCTTATTTTTTTCATATTAAATATTGGATAAATTACATGAGTAATTTAACTTATATTATTTGAATATCGGATATATCTGATTTGATTTAAATATGTTTAAAGTATAGCTGTATCTGTAGATTAAATTAATATTTAACCCATATTACAAAATATATGATAAAATTTTTAATGAGATTTAAATATAAATCATGTATAATGTGCATGATAATTATCTCATTAATTGAGATAATAAAGACATAACCATAAATCAACTTATGGATAACACAGTATATCTTAAATAAACAAGATATGTATGGACCTGTTGGAATAGAGTGAAAATCACTTATAAGCACGTTTCACATAAGTCGAGATAAAATTTCTCTCATATATTTATTTCATATTTGTAAATCACGATTAAAAGCTACTATAAGCTATTCTAAATAGACCCATAATATTTAGCCTTCTCAGAATATTTCTACGCCAATCACTATGAAGAGGCTCTCTTTGTCAACTTATATACGAACAAAAACATTGATGAAGTTAACAATGTCCTGGTATATATAATTACACTCACAGAACATCATTTTTTTCCTTTTAAATCCGATTCGCAAGATGAAAAAGTTACGTGGCGTGTTTTTCATATCATCAAATCCTACATATTGCACAACTAATTATTAATTTCGTCAAAGAGTAGAGAGAGAATACACATGGGAGAAAAAAATTCACTAATTAAAAAAATATCAATAATCTCAGTTAATTAATTCTTACACCAAAAAGCTTCAAACCCTTTTGTGCAACATCTGTTGGAGAATGCAATATTTCCATTCTATCCTCTTCCTTTGTCTCATCTTCTTCATCGTATCTCTTCTTCTGTTCTATTGTTCGAAACTCAACATTTTCTGTGTCTGGCTCTCTCATTTATATTATCTTCATTATAGATCACATCAATCAAATAGAAACTTCACCCCCATAATTATAGGCTCACACTTATAAAATACAATAACATCCTTAGCCTTCAATCTCTTGTCTTTCACAAACCTGTTCCAACCCCTCGTGAACACAAAGCTTTGGCTGCTTCTCCAATAGCAGTACCTAAATTTCCACGACCTCATTAGCTTGTCGTAAAACACAAGCCCAATATCACTATTAATATCCATCATCGTCGTCCCATAATTATTATTACCATTATCATTATTGTCAGCTTCTTCTGTCGTGCCGGAAACGTAAGGGAAATATCTATTCGCATGTTTCTTGGGGATGACGAGCCTATTGAGTTTGCCCACATCACTTGGTGTAAGTTCCTTCTGGAAAAGTTGGGTGCAGGAGAATTTTTCCTCACCGTCATTTCTGGCCCTTGTTATTTGTTCGTCCCCATTTAGGGTTAGGGTTAGAGTTCGGGTGCTTAAGAGAAAAGAAGCAAACTTGGAAGGATAGGTGCCATCTCTGATCATGCTTAGGACTGCTTCGGTGCTGTAATGGCTTTGGAAAAAAGGTTCTTGAACAGTTTGATCATTCCAAGGGAAGTTCCGGTGGTTCGCCGCTCCGGAGCTTAATGGTGGCGCTGTCGTAAGCATGGCTGCTTCTCGTTCGGATTTGAAGGTTCCAAGCCATATTCTTTGGTGGTTTGCGTATATTTGAGCGCCCCAATGACCATTTTGCTGAGGCACTACGCCTTTGAACTTTTGCATATTGTCATTACTTCTAACATTATTCATCCTCTCCTTTCTCTTTGATTTTTGATCACCTTCTAAATTACAAGAAGAAGAAAGAGGGGGGAAAAACTTTTGTTCTCTTTGGTTTGTTTTTTTATAGTTTGATATTTGATCCTGGGGAATGTAACAGACAGCTCCAACATATCAGTGCTGGTTATGATATATTTCGGTTTTGTGTAAATGGTAATTGATAAACTAAACTATATTTGGAAGTCCCGATTAACCAACTCAAATAGGAAACCGAACTCTAGTTCAAACAAAATTTGAAGTTATTACGTTGAGTCTAGTCTGAATTAAGTGCTATTACTTCCTAATTTAGGATATATAACAGGTATATATCTATTTCATTAATTAGTTTTGTCATCATCAAACGTTGTTAATTGCCCTGAATATATCACGCACACTCATGTATCATACATATTCCTGGATGACTGTAACAGTACAACAATTAAAAAACCAAATAAAAAAAAAACAGTGCTTGTTCTAGAGTTTTCAATGATACGTTACAGCATTATGGTTTTGTTGTAAATACCGGCATTACGTGCTACATCAGAATGATATTTGCATATCATTGTTATCAGAATAATATCTGTAATTTAAAAATTTTGAGATCAATCAGATAAGATTTTAAAAAGTATTTTAAATATATGCAATGAGCAATAAATTTAAAACTCAAGTCGTGAAGAGATCCTTCTAATTTGTATTGATAATATTTTTATGGGGCCTTCACTTATCATTCTCTTTACTTGAATAATATATATAAGGCACACCAAAGGCCCTTAGTTCATGTAGATCCCTATATTTTATATGATGGATGGTTTGTAATCTATCATTATACATACGATCGTATTTTGACTGGACAATTTAAGTAAAGAAAATTAAAAGGAAAATGGCAATCATTCAAATACGAGAGATTACTTTAATTTATAAAATTTCATGTGTCATAGAAAATGGCATCCTTACAACAGTAAACTATATTTCAAATATAAGAGACATCCAAGGAGCTATACTAGGAGTGTTTGTTAGGAATTTTAAACTTAAATTGCATGCAATGGAGGACATAGGAATTTGTCCATTTAGTTTAATTTTTAAAATTTAATTTGAATGATTTGGATTTTATCTTTTTTACGTTTTTATCTTAAAAAAATGAGATAGAAAATAGATATAATTTTTTAATCTCAACTTTAAAAAAATAAAAATACTAAAGATGCCGTTGACAAGTTGAATAGTTCAAAAAATATGCACATCTCGCATGGTTTTCTCCCGAAATGTAGAAGACATGCCCGTCATATCACAAGCTTCTCTGCGAACCCTTATACTTAGGAGTGTTTGTTATAAAAGCCCCATCGGCTTCAACATCTGACCACACATATACTTTTCTAGCTTCAGTATATACAGGGCCTCAGGTTTCTGTTGCGAATATTGAAGCAGAAGGAGGAAGAAGAAAGAAGAAGAAGAAAGGGGTTTCATCAAAAACACATTGCGCTTTGCTAGCTAGCTAGTGGGAGTCTCTCTTGTTCCTTCTCACCATAAATGTCAAAAGGTCTGAACCCATCATCGAACGGGACGTCGTTTATATTGGCTTTTGTAATCTATCTCTCTCCGTTCCGTTGCCGGATTTTGATACCATTCCGGAGGAGTTCACTCTTTCTGTCACCAAGTTTCGCAAAAGGTTTGTTCACTACAGCTTTACTAACATTCTTTATACTTGTTATCACATTATATTGTTAATACATTTGGGTAACACAGATAGTTTCGTTAATGTTTGATAATAAATAATCGATATATCTGAGAATTGTGTTCGAGTTCTTACCTACTTTATTCTGTCATGATCCAATATCTGTCAAATACCTTATAGGGAATACCGTGTGGCGTGTGCTGAACAAAATTTGTATAAAACTGAGTTGATGTCATCATCAATTCTTGAAAGATGAAATTGTTTTATGTTTGGATAAGGACTGTGTATTTAATATTTATGATGTTGTGTGATCATTTTAGCTATAAATCCATCATCTTTCTGCCAAAGTCATTGGTCATTTTTGCATGCACGGATGTTTACCTTTAATTTTCTCAGTTTTGTGGACTTTCTTGCATTTTCCTGTAGACTTGGAGATAGATTAAAGGTTGCATTTTTTTGTTTTGGGTTAAGTGGACTTGACTTTTCTGTGTATTTAATATTTATGATGTTGTGTGCTCGTTTTAGCCATAAATCCATCATCTTTCTGCCAAAGTCATTGGTCATTTTTGCATGCACGGATGTTTACCTTTAATTTTTCTCAGGTTCTGTGGACTTTCTTGCATTTTCTGTAGACTTGGAGATAGATTTAAAGGTTGCATTTTTTTTGTTTTGGGGATTAAGTGGATTTATATATTTAGGGACCTGACTTTTGTTTTGTCTATTCAGATTTTTTATGTAGTTTCTCCCTTTTTTCCCATTGATATTTTTCCCAGGCAGGATTCAGAAGCGAAGCTTTTACATCTTTGTAGGCCCAACCAGTAGTCAGGTCTTTGCTGCATGTATCGCATTGTTTAGACAAACAACTCGGTGGACAATTATTAGAAGTAAAACGGAGCTTCTATCATTGATAAGACCATGTTAAATTTTATTTCACAAGTAAATTTTCAAAATCAAAAGAAGTTTTTTTCCTTGTTGGTTAAATTATATATTGAAGCTTTAGGTGAAAATTCTTTCAAGAGTAATCATATATATTTATGTATGTGTATATATGATTAGTCCTTAAATTATTAGATTATATAAATTTAATCTCTGTATACAGAATGTTAGTTTAGTCGTCTTTCGTTGAAGTTTCACCACACAATTCCAAAATGTGATAGATATGTCAGATGACGAAATATATGGAGAAAACAGAAGGCTTGAAAGGGACAAGAGGAGGAAAACCCCCTCTCACTGATGCCAATGTTTGTTAGGCAGAAGCCAACCTTCAGCGTTTTGTGGCACAGACTCTTTCATTCTATTTATCAAGAGTTTTAACACTTCTCTTCCTTACTCGCCATTATTCTTTCCCAATTTGCCATTCCCTCCTTTTCTTTCCCATTATAATCCTAATGCTTTCCTTCTCTCTCTACCTCTTATCAATCGTAAAGCCAATTTGAAAATGATGTCTCGCCGTGTCTTTTGCCTTCATCTTTCCTATATATTGCATGCTAGTATGGCTCACTTCTTATCAACCTTCTTCTTTTCTTCTTCCTCTATTTTTCGTCTTCTCTTATATCTCTATACTCATCATTCCCTGTTTCTTGTAAGTGTTTGTATTTCTCAGTATGCTATTATTTCCTTATTAGCATCATATCTTAGACTTATTTTTACCACATGTTGATCTTCTCTATTCCTATGTTCTTCCTTGCTTTTCTTGATTTTGTAGCATCATGTCATTTTTCGAGGCTTCTGTAGGCTTAGTACTGAGAAATGGCCTGCTCCAAAATCAGTTTCTTTTCCTTGTTGTTTTTGGGTCAGTTATTAGTTTAAAGCAGAGTTTGTTCAACTATTGCAGATGGAACCAGAAATGGCCCCTCCATGCCCCGCCAGCTCCATTGAAGTTGCTGAACTCCAGGTTAGTAATCCTTGCTGTTTGAAGAAGGTCAATTCAACACATCAATAGGAGATTCCACTATTTACTCTATATGACAAAACTCACACGTCAGAATAGTTGGAATTGTAGTTTCAATTTGCTTCTTAGTGATGGTGATGGAAGAGGTTCTGGTACGTAGTGGGTACTGGATATCCTATAATACAACAAAAAGCATTTATTCAATCACCTACAGCCATTACTTTTCCTATTTCATTTTCTCTAAAAATCCAATTTTTATGTGGAATCATATCATACACTAAATTGTTAGTTCAAATCACTCTAAATGATTTGTTTTCCTTTTGAGGGAAGCCACTTTTGTCAATACAAAATATCTAATCTCCGCACCAGTATGCAAGAAATATATACACAAGTTATTCAGTAGGAGGTAGCTACAAAATTTTGAATGAATTTCATAATCTCATAATGACTCGGGTGTTAAATTTTGTAGCAATCATTTCACAGAAAATGTGTGTGGTGTGTGTGTTTTTGAATTTATTGTAATTATATTTTCATTGTTGTTCGGTCAGTTGAATGATTAACCACAGGCTACAAACTACTTAATTATACTTGATTCCTGGGACCTCAAGGAAGACTTATTTTACATATATCATAATTGAAGTCTATTGCGTCAAATATATACTGCCAAAAAAATTTACATGGCAAAAAGTAACTGGTTTGTGTCTATAATGATCCTAATTTTATCCTCTAAAATACCACATTTTCATTTTTTATGCAAGACATTTTCACAATTTGATTCTTCTACTTTAAAAATTTGTTGCAGGAAAATCGACAGGCAAAGGAAGAAAATGATGGCTGCAGGGACCAGTCTTCTGGGGGAGAAAGTTGCAAAATTGTTGAGAAGAATGCAGGAGGGTGGAAAATTGCAAGCATCTTGCTAGGTACCAATAAAAACCATTGATCATTACATCTTTTAAATTTCAAGAACTACAATCCAGAAAATGACGATTATTGAGCTGTTTATGCATTTGTTTGATTGCCTCTTTTTTTCTTCCCACCCTTTTTTGCTTAGCTCTTACCCATTAATTTTATCATTAAACATCATTTATTTCAAGTTTTTTCCCTCATCATTTTGTTCTATGCAGTGAATCAGGCACTAGCAACACTAGCTTTCTTCGGAGTTGGAGTGAACTTGGTCTTGTTTTGACCAGGGTTCTTGGTCAAAATAATGCTGAAGCTGCCAATAATGTCAGCAAGTGGACTGGAACAGTTTACATGTTCTCACTGATTGGGGCCTTCCTTAGTGATTCTTACTGGGGTCGATTCTTAACCTGCTCAATCTTTCAGCTCATTTTGTTCTGGTAATATATCTCACAATTTTTTGTAACCTTAATTTAACAAATTCTGGAACTATCTAATTGCTAACAAGCTTCATGTGTGTCTGAACTCTGTTGT